GGGGTGTTTCCTCAGGTAAATCATGAAAAATAAGTAGAAGTTAGGTGAAATGAGGCATGCAGTGGGAGATCAGGCAGGTGTTTCAACAGAGGGAATAACATATGAAAAGGCTTGAAGGCAAGAAAGAATGTGGCTAATTTGAGAAACTCAGTTCACTTTGGCTGAAAAATGAAGTGGAGAAAGGATGCAACTTGAAGATGGATTGGTGGGAGATGAGAAAACATGCAACTGTAGATCTAGAGAAGATTATGAGGGCTTTGCAAATGAAACTAAGAAATTCTGATTTTTTTTTCTTGAAGGCAATTTGGAAATGTTTAATTCAGGGAAAAGTCATTTAAAGTAGTAAAATTGAGTTATAGCTATGGAGATGTAGGAATATGTACATTTGTTCCAAAATTCAATATTTATGCATTCCTTAGCTATTTATGCATTCAACAAATATATTGATTGCCTACTATATATTAGGCACTGTGATTAAATATTGGTTAAATAAATATATGTTGAATTATTGTAAATTAGCTGTCATTTATTGAGCCCTTATTTTGTGCTAGGCACTGTGTTAGGTGTCTTATAGAAATGTTGATAACACCTTTTAACAGGTGAGGAAACTGAAGTAATCAGAGTTCAAGTATTCCAATGACATATAACTAGTAAATGACAGTCAAAATTTGATCTCACATCAGTTAGTATCTTGCAAGATTTTACCATGTTACTCAAGTGAACACATTTCACATGTTAACTGTACTTAATATTTTTTAAATCCAAAGAAAAGAACAATAAAACATTTTGAACTAATCAAGAAAATTTAATCAGCAATATATGGGCACATTGCCCTAGATTTCCATAAAGAATTTGCATTTGTCTTGTAAATGAGGAATAATTTTATATTTATCTACATGAGCAGTTAGGTAAAATTTGGAGTACTCAAACCCCCAAATAAATTTTCATTCCTAAGACTTACCTAGATGATGTTAAAGTGTTATTTTTTACTTCTTTTTTCCCATTCTGTGTCTGTACTTTATTAATATTAACAAACATTAATAAAGGATGTATTTAAAAGAGCAATTTTATTTTGAAATAGGAGAGAGGAAAATGCGTGCTACAATAATGTCAGAGTTTCCAGTGGAAGATATTGTGAACTTGTTTGTCTAAACATATTTTATTTGGGGTTCAGTATGAATTTTCAATAGATGTCTTTCAGATAAGAAAGCAGTAATTCAAATGCAATTATATAAACAAGAAGATCAGAGGGGAATTATCGTGAAGGGTATAAAATGAACCAAGAGTCTGGGTCATCACAGAAGCAGCTCACCAATGCAAAGTAAGGTAGGTTTCTATAATGAGAAGGCTCTGTGAAATAAAATGTTCTTATTCCAAGTTTCTTTTATTTTCAAAACTGTATTTAATTAAAAATTGCAAGTGTAAGAGATAATTTGTTTTAATAGGCTCTAAAATTTTTAATTATTGCTCTAAATTGTTCAGTAGTTGGTGAACTACATACATAAGTTAAGAAAAAATTCCATTAACTTAAAGGAAAAGAAACAACTGGTTGGTTTCCTAAGGAAGAATGTTTGATGTGCATGACATTCTCCTGTTTACATTTGATTCAAATGTTTTTATCAATTGAATGTGTATTAAATCTTCTCAATTACTAATGGTCATTTTTGATCAAAATATAATTCTGGGAAGTCTTAGAGTAAATTCAGTGTTTAGTACCTGCAGGGGCAATATACTCTATTAAAATGTTTTTTTAGTTATTTAATAGTCAAACCTCCTTGGATGATATCCAACACAAACATTTGCCTATAGTACATTTTGCTCTCTAGAAAAATGTACTGCTTTAGGGAAATTCTGGTATTGTTCATAAGATGGGCAATAGATTCTCCTTCCTTTTTTCTTTTTCTTTTCTTTTTTTTTTTTTGTTGTTGTTGTACTAGGGATTGAACGCAGGGTGCTCTGTCACTGAGCTATATCCCCAAATGGTCACTCCCTGTCTCCCCCCCCCCCTTTTTAAAAAAATTTTGAGACAGTTTTGCTTAGTTGCCAAGCTTGGCCTTGAACTTGTGATCCTCCTGCCTCAGCCTCCCAAATTGCTGGGATTACAGGTGTGCACCACCACTGGACCTGGCAGCAATTGATTCTTTACTTCCTTTCTGAAATCTCATAGAATCACAGACTATTTGTGCTGTAGAAACCCTCGAGATCATCTTCTGTTTTTAAGCCTTTCTTTCATAGATGAGGAAATTGAGGTTCAGAAAGATTATGAAGATGAAGTTTTAATTCCAATAAAGAAGTAAAGGAGAAAGAAATAGTTCTTACTTTCTGTATGTCAACAGAAGTTGTATCACTGTTATGGCTGGTAATTCAACACTTTTAATATTTTACTTTTGTTAGTTTAAAGTTCTGCATTTATAAGAAGAACTTCAAAAAATGTGTGCAATGAATAGGGCATCAATGGGGAAAAGTTATAACACAATTTTTTGATCCTAGAATTTTAAAGGGGGTCAAGTGTATTTGTCTGTTTCTATTTTGCAAACAAAATTCAGACAGATTAAATATTTTAGTCAATTTTTCTTAGATCCATGGAGAATTCTGTTGCTTAATTTCTAAATCAATCTTTTTATCACTTGGTCACCACACATCTATTTTATATAAAATTGTAGAGCTAGAGGTTAAAATAAGTGAAGTTAATTATTTCCTGTGGTAAAAGATCAGTAGGTAGCTGCCCAGACAGACAAGAACTGTATGATCATGGTGGATGAGTGTTTTACATAATTTACCTAGTTCATAATTTTAAAATCCTGCAGACGTTACTCCAGGTCTGTGGTTCTTAAATAATGAAACCAACTCTATATCATAGTGGGAATTCTTAAGTGAAACACTTAAGAAAACCTAATTCCATAAGTAAGGAATTCCTGTTGGGGGGCTGGGATTGCAATTCAGTGGTAGAGCAGGTTGCCAGGAGAGCAGATTGCCAGGCACGCATGAGGCCCCAGTTTGATCCCCAACACTGCAAAAAATAAGGCCATGGGATTTCATATATTTTTTTCTTTTTTTTTAGTTGTAGATGTACACAATATGTTTATTTCATTTGTTTATATGTGGTGCTGAGGATGAAACCCAGTGTCTCACACTTGCTAGGTGAATGCTCTGCCACTGAGCTACAACCCTAGCCCATAAATTCTTATGTTTTTGCTTCCTAAATCAAATACAAAACAAAAATAAACAAACAAAACCCCTACAAGGAATGCTTGAATGGGCAATATTTTACTTAAGAGTTCACTAGTCCTTCCTCCTAAAATGATTTAGTTCACTTCCTTTTCTATTCACAAGTATAGTAAACCTAAGGAGATCCTTGATAATTGTGAGTTATAAGTTGGACTCTTTCAGAGAACCTAGAACAATGGTATTATTTGAGTTCATACTTAGCTCCTCCACTGGACTGTCAATCCCTTAGATCAAAAACCATATCTTACTCATTTTGTGTCTCAGTGCCTGACTCTGATGCTCACTATATATTTTTCCAGTTTATCTTCATTTCTCATTCTAGGAATAAGAAGTTGGTTGAATGACTACTAGTTTTTAGAAGTTGACATGTAAGATAAATCCCTGATTACCTCTGAAAAATATGCTCTTCATTTTTTTTCCTTACAAGTTTATTGAAGACAAATTCTAGTTAACTGAGGCTTGTGTGTATGAGTTTCAGTAAGTAGGGGTATTAGCTTAAAGATACTGTTTATATATAATTGAAAGTTTTGAGAAAATATTGATAATTTTTTGATGATTAAATAAAGATGTTTAGTGAATAATTATTTAATATTATGAGAAAACGTCTTGTGTTCATAGATAATACTACTCCACTACAGGGTGTATTTTCTTTACTGACAATGATACTTGAGAAGAAAAAGAACCCAAACACACACACACACATACACACACACCCCTATCTAGTTGTACAATATTAGTAAAATGAAAAAATCTTCTTAATCTTTGAACTGATCAACCTACATCCCAAAGTCTGAAATTTGATTACCCTCTCTTAGTAGCAAAACAAAAATAATTATGTCATAACATTATCCAGATCATTACAATGCCCAATTGGTAGTGAACAAGTTTTCCATTAGACAGGCTCTATTGAGATGCATGTTCTACTTCTGCAAGGGGATCCTCTGTTGTTTCCCATGCAGCAAAAAAACATTTAGTATTTCTTTCTTACTCATAATAGATCATCATCATTGATTGTGTTATTTTCAATGTGTCAAACTGTATATTTTGCCTCTATATTCTATTCAAGATAATGAGTTTCATATATCTTCTGTGTAAAATTATCTTTTATTTGGTCCAGTTCCGCTTCTTTCAATCTTAAAGGAATATTCTATGGGTTCAGAAGGTGGGTCCTAGATTTCTAAGTTAGCCTATTAACACTAGTGTAATTTTAGTTTCGCTTTTCTGGACTTTCTCTAGCTTCATGATATCTTCCTTGACTGGAAATGGTGGAATTATATGCAATATTATTTGCACTGGAATGGTACTAAAATTTGGTTATGCCTTTTCTTGGTTTCTTTGTCCTTTCTGATTATGAACAAAAGATTTGTTGGCCTTTTAAGTTATTGGGCCAGAGTTTTTAGAAAACTACCATTCTAGGAAATCTCTTCCTGAAGGATAACTATTAATTGACTTCTTATAAAGGTAGTTATTTGGATTATATTTCTACTGAATGAATTACTTCCCATTTGATTCCCATATGCATCTCTGTGTTGTGTTAACTTCAGGCTTGCCATTTTGCTCTGGCAAGCTTTGTGGCACTTGAAAGCGGGACCTCTACAATGTGAGCTTCTCCTCTACTATGAGTATGTGAATCATAGCCACATCAAAATGTATATTTTAAGGTTTGAGAGTATTAAGTATATAAAAACATGTAAGCTTTTCCCAAATGTGTCTTCCAAATGTTCTGAAAGAATACATGTAATAGGTTTTTAAATTTTATCTTTTATTTTAGCATGACTGCCATCTTCCTGATGTCCATGCTTTTTGGTCTTGCATGTGGGCAAGCAATGACTTTTTGTATTCCAACCGAGTATACAATGCATGTCGATAGGAGAGAGTGTGCTTATTGCCTAACCATCAACACCACCATCTGTGCTGGATATTGTATGACACGGGTATGTAGTTCATCTCACTTTTGGACATAAATTATATAAACATAGAAGCAGTTCATTCCTATCTGTAAAGGAAATGAGGTAAATGACAACCTCATTTTCCAAATCCAATGATTATTGGCTCCTTAAAAGTAGAGCACACAGTTTATAATATTATGTGGATTTACTCAGCAAAATGGGTACAGATAAATTTATAATAGTTTTGCTATCCATATTTGTTTAAGCTTATCTTATTCCCATAATCAGGGATAAAAGAAAGGAAGGTATCAGTTTTGTCTCTGTAGGATTCAGTGTAGATGTGTTATTGGGGAACAGGGTAAAGGAATCCTCTCTTAGTTGTTATTTGTGACAAAGAATGGAACCACCATTTGACCTAGCTATCCCACTCCTCAGTCTATACCCAAAGGATTTAAAAACAGCATACTTGGGGCTGGGTTGTGGCTCAGCGGTAGAGCACTCGACTAGCACGTGGGAGGCCCTGGGTTTGATCCTTAGCACCACATAAATGAAATAAAGATATTGTGTCCAACTACAACTTACAATATAATATTTTTTTTAAAAAACAAACAAACAAAAAAAACCCAGCATACTTCAGGGACACAGCCACATCAATGTTTATAGCAGCACAATTCACAATAGCTAAACTGTGGAACCAACCTAGATGCCCTTCAGTAGATGAATGGATAAAGAAAATGTGGTATATATACACAATGGAATATTACTCAGCAATAAAATCATGGCATTTGTAGGTAAATGGATGGAGTTGGAGAGTATAATGCTAAGTGAAGTTAGCCAATCCCGAAAAACCAAATACCAAATGTTTTCTCTGATATAAGGAAGTTGATTCATAGTGGGGTTTGGAGGGAGGAGCATGGGGAGGATTAGACAAACTCTAGATAGGGCAAAGGGGGTGGGAGGGAAAGGGAGGGAGCATGGGGGTGAAAAAGATAGTGGAATGAGTTAGACATCATTACCCTTAGTACATGTATGAAGACACGAATGCTGTGAATATACTTTGTATACAGACAGAGATATGAAAAATTATGCTCTATATGTGCAATATGAATTGTAATGCATTCTTCTGTCATATATAACAAATTAGAATTAAAAAAACAAAAAAGAAAAAGAAATATAATGAATCAGCATTCATCTGTTTCCATTATCTATGTTTTCTAAAGTCCTATCATATTATGCTCTCTTATGTATTCATTCTCAGGATATCAACGGCAAGCTGTTTCTTCCCAAATATGCCCTCTCCCAAGATGTGTGTACATATAGAGACTTCATCTACAGGACTGTAGAAATACCAGGATGCCCACATCATGTTGCTCCATATTTCTCCTACCCTGTCGCTGTAAGCTGCAAATGCGGCAAATGTAACACTGATTATAGTGACTGTGTACATGAGGCCATCAAGACAAACTACTGCACCAAACCTCAGAAGTCCTATCTGCTGGGATTTTCTGTGTAGCTTTAAGAGCAATATAATTTGCGATTTGGTTAAATGTGTTTACCTGGAAAAAAAAAGCCTAATAAAATGTCATTATGTTTGACAATACCTTGTATATATCTTGAGTATTATTCCATCCACGTGCATACTTACACAGGCATTAGAGAGCTTAAGGAGCTTAAGAAAAGGTGAGTGAAAAAGCCTTTTGTAGTTTTCACATGAAAGAGGAGAATGGAGGTAAAACAGAACAGAGACATGCAGTGCTAATGAAAGCCAGACTTGAGCAGGTCCTCCTAACAGAGGACCAGGAGTTTGTCTTGACAGAGAAGGTGAATGTGGGTCCACTGCAGCAATGAAGAGAAAGCAATGTGATCAGAAGCTGAAGGAACACATGGCATCAGGGTACTAGAGACATTTTCTTCCAAAGGCTAGAAGCCAGGCTGGAATGGAGGTAGGCAGTAAGGAATATGTGAAATATGTAATATAAAGCTTTATCCTACTCATTCAAATGCACAGGATAAAACTCCACCAAAACTCAGCAGAGTATGGAACTCTTTAATTTAATTACTCTGGTGGGCCAACTGACCTATGAAAGTTATACCCCAAAAGGTCAATTTACAAAGCCTAGAAAAGAGGCCACGATCATTTTACATGTGGAAGTCTAAATCCTTCCTAGTCCTTGAAGTAACAGGAGATACTTTCCAGCATTTATACAAAAAGCTACTTGTACTGTTTTGACTTTTGATATCACATTCACTTTCTATATCATGAAAAACTAGTATAATTATGAAAGGTTTTAGGGACAGGGTGTGAGTGCTAAGGGATTTAAAGGAGTAGAACCATCCTAAATTTTAATCTAAACCTTCATTAATATTGAAACATTGTTTTTTTTTTTTGGTGAATATGCTTAGTAAATGGCTCTTTATTTTCTTTTCCTCCATTAGATACTCTGTGAGAGTTTGGTTTCAACAGACAATTGAATTGAGAGAGGTCTAGTGGCTTGCAGACTTGACCTCAAAAAGACTATCCTGTATTTGTCCATTACTTTCCATGCTCACTGCCATCATCAAAGTGAAAACTAATTGTCATTAGGGCCATTTGGCTTTGCTGTATCCCAATCACTGGTTAAATTCCACTGGGTATCTTGTAAATGTCTGTCTGCTGATAGTGCCCTTGGGGAGGATGATGCGGTGCAGATAAATTAGTACCAAACCCCTGATTTGCCCTTGGGAGGAAACAGATGTGCATTTATATACAAAAGAGTTAAGAACCTACGTTATTTTTGCCTTAATATCTGAAGTTAATATTTTTATAATCTCCAAATATTAATCTGGGGCTTTGGGTTCTCCTATCTGTGGATAACATGGATGCTTAAATCTACCTATCACTTAAAACTGTTTATCAAATACAGATTTTTAATTAATGAGTAAAAAGTCTAATGTTCAATCTAATTGGTACTAGCCACAAATGACTTTCACGTATACTGAAAAACATTTTTTTTCCATGGACTCAAACCCTGGAAAGACCAAGAGTTTTAGGGAGGCCACTCATAATAGTCCAGATGGAGATTTTAATAACTTAAGTAGGTTTCCTCAACTTGCAGTGAGACAGCCAGACCTGGACATGTGTATGATGGGCCTGTACCATCCTGAGCCATAGAACTCTAGAGTGGGTACAGGAGAGACAAGTTGTTTCTTCCACTGAAGACAATCTATTTGGATAGAGGCACACACGAATTATATTAAACTATTCTTGAAAGTGGAGTTATCCAAGACAGAAAAAGCCTTAGTATGGAGCTTAAGGATTGGGATGACCAGTTATTTGCTTCAGTTGGATCCAGAAACTTGAGAATATGATGTGCTGTTTTGGAGGGGCTTGGCATCTCTTGGTTTAAGAAAAGGAGAATGGATAAAGTTTAGAAAGGGAAAGCTAGAGAATCATTGCTTGCACAACAGGGGAAAGATGGAAAATGGAATATTTCTGAAGTGATTCAAACTAAAGTTTAGAGGAGTCAGTTCTTGGCAGAAGAAGTTTGAAACTCAGTGCTTTCAGGGGAAAAAAAATCTCTTATTCCTCATTTGACTCTGAAATATAAAGAATTCTTTCATAACTTAGATGGATTTGGGATCAGTATAGCAGCACCTCTGTTTTTCTAAAGACCAAACTCTTTAGGAATAAGTGAATGTACCAGGATGAATTTATTGGCAGGAAATTCTGGTAACTGAAGCTCTTTTATATAGAAATTGCCTCTTTTTTTTTTTTTACTTACGAGCAGCAAGTCTGAGTCTTTAAGTGCAATTAAAATTCTTTTATCAAGGTCACTTCCGCGCTAACACTTTTTTTCGATGTTGGGTTTTCCTCTACCCTCTCAGCAGTCCTAGTTTTTATTTTTAAAGACAATTCTGTCTCACGTTCTCTACTTCTGCTATCTCCTTTCTACCTGCTGCCTCTGTCATCTTAGCATCCATGTCCCTGCTTCACAGAGTTGCACCTTTTTCTCTGCAAGTTCTTCTTATGCATACTTTCAGTTCAAGTTGTTCGAACTTTCAATTCAAATGGATTGAACCACAGTTCATCTCTTAAGCCTTTACTTTCTTTTTCATCCTTAAAACCTTTATTTTCACTCTAAAATTTCACCATTAAACCTTCTCTTTCCTTTTCTGTAACTAGACTTAGGTTTCTGACACCTCACCTGAAAAGGCCTTACTGATCCAGCATCTTTCCCACTAGTTTCAGAAGATGTTCCTGATCCCATCCCCCATCTTCTCCAGCACCTTGCTGTTTCCTCCTGTATCTTTTCCTACTTCCTCTTTTTTGACACATCTTCAGTGTGAAGCATCCATAGATCTCTTCCCATCCTAAAAAAAAAAAAGAAAGAAAAAAAAAAAGAAAAAGAAAACAAACTTTTCTTGGCCTTATGTAATTTTCTAATTATTTGTCCTCTCACATCTTAAATTCTTATGCCAAGTTTTTGTTTTGTTTTGTTTTTAAATAAAAAAGCCTGCTATATTAACCATCTACTTCTTCACTTTGCGTTCTCTTCTCAGTCCACTACAATTTTACTTCTACAATTTGAAACTATTTTAGTAAGGGCAATAGTGAGTAACTAATGGTTCAATACACAGGATACCTTTTAGTTTTGATCTTCCCTGATCTCTCTGTTTCCCAGTGGAAGTCACATATCTCTGTTCACAATATAACATAGCCATGGCATTTATAATTCGTCTTAATGAGGATGAAATCAACCTTCTCTAATTTTTTCATGCCTTTTCTTTCTACCTTTCTCCATAATGACTCAAAATCTATACTATGGTTTTTAGCAAGCAGTGGTAATGTAAGTCTGGACTATATTTTTCTTAGTAATTGTGCTTAATGCCATAGGGTGAAAATTCTAAACTTCATGAAAGAAGGGCTAGAGCTATAATAATCTTATGTGTTCTATTAACCGTTTGAACACTATTAAGTGTAGAGCATATAAGAAACTTGGCTTTGTATGAATTTGTCCTTGGATGTCCTAAGGAATTACATCCATTTCATAATCTGAAGTTGGCTTCATGCTTAAACCAATACTTTATTGCTGAACTAGTTAGAGTTGCATTAAGATGTTATATGGCAGCTACTAAGGGAACATGGGAAGCTAAGAGACTCTCTGGCCTGAGATTAAGAAATGGGTGGAGAGTAAAGAATTGTTGCATACTTTTAATAAGAGTATTTGATTCTAATTTTTTCAGCTTGATTTTTCTCTGGGGATTTAATCATGAGAAGTGGCTCATCTTGTTCAAATGTCAGTACTATCACTTTTATGTGGATGATTCCTGAACTGCAGTTTTAGTGCAAAATTTTCTGAACTTCAGGGCTGTGTATCCACTGGCTGTGTGTATTTTCTTTTGGATATCCTGCGGTCATGGTGAATTTTTAAACAGTGGCAGAAAACCAAACTTGAATCTTTTTTGTTGTTGTTGTTGCTTTTACTATTATACTATCATTCATGCATGGAATATAATTTGCTCCATTTCAATCCCCAGTATTTCCTCTTTCTCCTCACTCCTCCCTCCCTTTTCCCTTCCTCTACTCTACTGGTAGAGGAAGTCATCTCCTACATCTCTGATCCAATCTACTTTTCTTCCTGTGCAGCACTATTTTCCAGCTACTGAGTCAGAAACCTAGGTTCCTCTCCTTTCTGATTCCTCAAATCTAATTTCTCTTAAGTCTACTTCCTATGAGGGTTTCTAGTACATTAGTTAGAAATTCTTATAAGTCAGGTCTTTGCCATCCAATCACTCCTTATATTTAAGCTGAGTGATCTTTACCTTTAGGTACATCTATAAGGCACTAATTTAGAAAAACAATAAATAGGAGGAAGACCAGTAGAGTAGAGGAAGGGAAAAGGGAGGGAGGAGTGAAGGGAAAGAGGAAATACTGGGGATTGAAATGGAGCAAATTATATTCTATGCATGTATGATAGTATAATAGTAAAAGCAACAACAACAACAAAAAAGATTCAAGTTTGGTTTTCTGCCACTGTTTAAAAATTCACCCATGACCACAGGACAAACATTAGCTGTCAACATGTTCAGTGTTTTCATGCTCTGTGTATTTCAGGGTCTTCAGCACGCTTTCCCCACAAACCCTCTTCTTTCTTCCTCTTCCCCTACCACTTTTGACTTGGCTAATTTGTAAGGGATTTTTAGCATTCAGTTTAGAGACCCTAACATTCAGGAGATGTCTCTCCCCTGATCTTCCCAACTTTGAGTGGGTCTTCTCTGGATTAATGATTATCATAGTACTTGTCTCAATATACCCACCAGCTTTTCTGCACTCTAAGCTTGTGACAGCAAGCAGACTTGCCTTGCCCATCATACCACATTAGTAGTCCTATAAAATGTTCCACAATGCACAAAAGAGTAATCCCAAACAAAGTTACAAAAGCAATTCCAATATTAATGTGGGTGCATCTTACAATGTGGAGCAGGCCCAGAGAAGAGCATAGGGACTTTGGCTATTGATATCAAGTTTTTGAA